TAACCCTAACCCCTAACCCTAACCCGTGCCCTAACCCTGACCTGTGCCTTAGCCCTTGCCCTAACCTCTTTGTGTCACCCCCGAGTTCCCCACTGCAGCCTCTCAGTGTCTCTGTGCCACCCTGGGGCCCCTGAAATCACGATTTTTCCTTCAACCAAAACTTTTGCAATCACAGGTGGACAGAGATCCTCCCCTGTGTGAATGCTGGCAATCACAGCTGGGACCTCAGGCTTTACTTCGAGTGGGAAAGAGCTTTTCTGCTCCTCCAGGTACGGCTTGAAGCGATTTAGGCTCAACGCGGGGTCGCTGGGATAATTTCAGTCGTTCTGGGGTTTGTTTTGGGGGGGTGCCGAAATCTCTCGGGGACAGCTGAGTGGTGCCTGCCCCCCTCTTTTTCCCCCCTGCTGTCTCCACGGGTCCCCCCGCGCCCATCCCCAATTTGAATCCGGGAGTTTCCCACCGTGCCCCGCGGCCGGACTACATCTCCCAGCGGCCCCCGCGGCCCCGCGCGCACGGGCGGCGGGGGGGCGCGGGGCGGGGCCTCCGCCATCTTTTCTGCGGTGCGGCAGCGGGGCCCGGCGGCTCTTAAAGGGGGCACGGTGCGGGGTGGGTCCCTCAGGGCGCGGCATGGAGACCGGAGCGGCACAGGAGGTGCGCGGATGGCGGGGCGAAGGTGGAGAGGGCGGCGGGATCGCGATGGAGTCGCGGGCGTTTCCCCGTTCCGCCCGCCTCCGTCCTCCCGGCGCCCCATCCGCTTTAAGGCCCGGCGGCGGCGATGGGTGCGGTGGGGGGAGCGGTGGGGGGGAAACCGCGCGGAGGGGGCGTGGCTTAAACGGGCGTGGCTTGAACGGGGCGGGGCTAATAGGGGCGCGGCCCTGACGGGCGCTGTGTGGGCGGGGCTTGGGGGCAGTGTGGATGCCTCCCCGCTCCCCGTTTTGTGACCCCCTCCATGTCCCAGGCCACCTCCTGTGTGTGTCCCCACCCCCCAAAATTCACCACTGTGGAGCCAGGGGACCCTAATTGCTCACCCAACCCCACCATGTCACGCCACCCCCGTGTCCCTCCTGTCACCCCCCCCTGTACCCCCCATGTCCCCCCTGTGTCCCCCCAGGACTGCGGGGGGCTTTGTCCATGTGACCCCCAAATTGCCCCCTCCAGGCTCAGGGCAGCCCTGCGCCCCTCTCCGACGCCCCCTGCACGTGCCCCCAGCCCCTGCCCGGGGGTCGCCCGCCACCCCCCGAGTGCCTGCGGCGGCAGAAGCGCCGCGAGCTGGACGCGCGGCGCAGCAAGTGCCGCATCCGCATCGGCGGGCACCTGGAGCGCTGGTGCCGCCTCAAGGAGCAGCTCGGATTCGCCCTGCACTCCCAGCTGGCACAGTTCCTCCTCGACAGGTAGCTCAGAACCCCATTAAAACCCGCCCCTGGTGGGGGAAAAGCCAGGTTTCTGCTCGCTCACCTCTGTCTCCCCACGCAGGTACAGCTCTCACGGCTGCACCTGGAGCACAGGTAGGTGCTTCCCTCCCGATTCCACGTTGGCATGCAGTGGTTTGAGTCCGTTCATGCTGGAGAGAGGGGATTCCTCTTGGGATGGGTGCTGGAGAAGCACCTGGAGCCGTTCTTGGGTTTGCTCACCCCACCCAGAGCACTTGGCAAACCCTCCCTTGGCATCCCAGCTCCTTTTTGGGAAGCTGTTTGACAGTTGCTCCCTAACAAGGAGAGCCCTAGAAGCCTGAGAAAGGTGGAGAGGGCCTTGCAGCTGTCCCGGCCCTCCCCAAAATCCCATCCCTGAGCTGTTTTTCACGGATGTCTTTGTTTCCCCAGGAGAGCTGGAGCAGCTCCAGCCGGCGGCGCTGCAGCGCCTGGTCGCGCTGTCCCACGGCCACGGCCAGGAGTGTGGCTTTGTGCCAGACATCCGGCTGCCAGCGCCAGGCAGCGCGGCCCCGCTGGTTTGGGAGTGCGTGGCCGGGCACCGCTTCTCCTGGGGTGGCTCTGGGGGTCCCAGCAGCCCCTCCTGCCACCCCCCAAAAGAGGCCCAGGGGTGCGGCCCCTCGCTGGGCGCTGGGCGCCGGCGCTCGCTCCGCAGGGCCACGCTGGAGGGGACGGCCAGGTCACCCCATGGAGATAGGGATGGGGACGAGGACACAGGACGTGGTGATGCTGGTGGCACAGGTGAGCTCCTCCAGGTGACCTTTCTGCCCTCAGCCTCCCCTGGATTCCCCACCTCCAGCCCCTCTCCCAGTTCTTAGTTCAGTTCCAGCACCATCCCAGTAGGATCAGACGCTGCCCCGAGCCCAGACCTTTCCAGCACCCCCATCCTTCCCAGCTTTCCATCCTCCTCACCTCTCCCAGCCCTTCCTCACCACCCTCCTGTCCACTTCCAGCCCCCCAGGTGCTGCTGGAACCGGGGCCTGTGGTGGCAGCTGGCGAGAGGTGAGTGCTGGCAGCCACGAGCATCCCCTGGTGAGGCCAGCAGTTGTGTCTGTCCCTGTGTCCCCAACACCACTGTCTGTGCTTGAGCCACCACGGCAGAGCTGACCCGGGTCACTGTCCAGCAGCGCCGTCCCCGGGGACGACGCAGAGCCAGGAGTTGAGCCCCGAGAGGAAGAGGAGGAAGAGGAGGACGAGGACTTTGCCAAGGGTGATGACCTGGCCTACACCGACGACCTGCGTGATGAGAACTATCACCCATCCCTGGACAGGTGGGAGAGCTGTGAGGGAGCCTGCAGGGCGGGGTGGTGTGGGACATCTGGCACCATCCCAGTCCAGACCAGTGTGGCACTGCAGGGGTTTCAGGCTTCATATCTCTGCCATGTGCTCATCCTGCTGCAGCTGGCCTGGCAGAGCGGGGAGGAGGTGGGAACAGTGTCCGTGTGGTGTTGAAATGAGGGGTTTCTGGGGTCAAAGAGCACAGAATTTTGGAGAGGCGTTTTCGTCGTGTCTCACCTGGGGGTCTTTGCCATATCCAACTGATGTCCAATCGTGTTGTACCATGTCCAGCCCATGTCCTGCCATGTCTAACCAAGTCCAGCCCATGTCCTGCCATGTCTAACCGTGTCCAACTAACTCATTTCCTACCACATCCAAGCCGTATCTCACCCCGTCAAGCACCCAGCCCCTCTCACCTGCCCTGCTCTGTGCCCCCTACAGCACCTCAGAGCCGCAGCGGCGCCAGAGCCAGCCCAAGGCTCGCAAGAAGCCAGCCAAGGAGGAGCAGCCCCTGCTCGAGCCAGCCCTGCCCAGCTCTGGCTCCTTGGAGGAGAAGAGCAGGCGGGTCAGGTGAGTCAGTGGTGAAGGGATGAGGGGATGGGGGTCAGAGTCATCATCTTGGGAGTGCCCAGTGCTGTGGGCCACGGGACAAGAGCTGTGTGTCCCCAAAGGGATTAAACCCTCCCCGTGATACCACTGAGTGTGGGGCAAGAGCTCCATGAGGGTCGTGTGTCTCCAGTCACTTCTCCCCATCACATTTTTGGCGCTGGGGCAAGAGCTCTGTGTCCCCAAGGAGGGGGTTTCAACCCTCCCCACGATGCTGACTGCAGGGCAGAGCTTGTTGCTTGGTCTGGGGTGTTGAGTGAGCAAATGGGGGTCTGGCTCACAAACCAGGGGCTGTATGAGCCTGGTGTCACCCACCCTGTCCCTCGTGGGACCGGTCCAGGGTGGTCAGGGAACAAGGAGAGGCAGCCAAAGCTGGGGGTGCCATGGAGGGGGGCAAAGACCTGTTGGTGGGCATTGAAATCTCCACTGGACTGGAGGTGGAACAGCCCACAATCCATCAATCCCAGCACAATCTCCTCCACGGATGGATCCACGGCTCTCCAGCAGTCTTGCAGCCGAGTGTTGGGTTTCCAGGCACACAAAATTCAATGTTTTGTGCTAAAAAAGCTTAAACCAGCCCTCAGGGCTTCACTGGGGCTTTGCACAAGCATTAAAGGTTGGGGCTTGGTCCATGCATGGCCTCAGATCCAACACACCTAGACACTTCACCTGGATGGATTTTCTTACACTTTTGATACAATAAGGGGGGAAAATCCCCCTTTTTCCTGGAATCAGCCATAACTTCTCCATCTGTTCCCTGGAAGTCAGGCTCAGCGCCAATCCTATCCCAAGAATTTCCCCAGGTGAGTGTTGTGCTGCTCCCTTACGGCTTTGATTGCTCCCTTTGAGCAGCTCCTTTTGGATGCTGAATGCCCTCCCCTCTCCCAGCAGCTCCAGAACCACCCCAGATGCAGCTGGAAGAGGGCCAACCTTCCTGGAGACCCAATCCCAGTGAAGGTAACGTTGGAATTTGCTATTCCCCTCTCCCTGCCATCGCTTCCAAATCCAATGTGAGGGTAGAAAAGTCTGTGTTCAATCTGGGCTGTTCTTTTTGGGGTCAAAAGTGAATTAAATGTGAGGTTTTTTCCTGGTGCTTTTTGGGTTCTGCCTGGTTTCCATCCCAAATCCCACGGTCTAGCCCTCCAAATATGTCCAAAGTTATACCTGGTGGCTTTTCTGAGGCACCAGGGGGGCTTGCAGCTCTCTGCCCACTCCCAGAGCCAAGCCCAAGCTTCAGGTCAGCCCTTTTTGGGCTGAGCTTGGTGACACGGATCATATTTTTAATATTTTGGTTAATTTCCCCCCCTCTCTTTTGTCACAGCAAGTTGAAAATGGGAGATAAAATCCTGGCTTATGAGCAAAGCAGGACTTTACAGATGTTAAGGGAGTTCTCCTATTCTCCCTTCCCCAGGTAAAGTCACCCTGAGCTGATAAAACTTTTTTTCAAGAGATTTGGGACAAGCCTCAGGCTGAGTCCATGCTTGAGCATTGGCATCTCTCACCATTCTATTATTTCTCCTCCCCAAACCCCACTCTAATCCACTTTTAATGGATCTTTCCTTAATTCCAGGGTGACAGCCAGGAATAGTTGCTGTTTCCAGGGAGCTATGGATGAATTATAGATCAAACCAGGCTGGGAGCCAATTTCAGTGTCCTGGGACGTGTCCAAACCACGTGAAAGGGGTTTTGTAACAAGCAATAAAGAATTTATTCTCATTTTAATGCCTGAACGATGTGTTTGTTCTAGCGTCTCCTGCTGTCCATGGGGTGGAAATGGGAGAAATGCTGGTCCTGAGGATGATTTAATGTAGGATTTCCTCGGGAATCTTGGCTCTGGGCCTGGGGACAGCGGGGGGGACAACAGGGCCTGGCTCAAAATGGCTCTTTCCTATTGCAGTTGCCGTCGGCAGCCACAAGCAGGAGACAAGGACATGGCTCAGATCGGCCCCAAGAGGATCAGGTACCTGGGAAAGAGGAGGGAAGGGGCCAGGGAAGCTTCCAGGCATTCCCAGGAAGAGGAGGACGGGCAGGAGGCTCTGAAAGGGTTCCTTTGCTTCATTTTAGATTTTATTGCGTGGGGAAAAGGGAGAGGGTGGGTGAGGAAAAAGGAGCTGGGGGCAGATTCACATTCCAAAGCTTTTCCAACCCTCCTCCTCCTTCCTGATAATGATTTTTCCCACGTTCTCTCCATCAGGAAGGCAGCGAAGCGCGAGATCCTCCTGTGTGACTTCGAAGGCTGCGGCAAAATCTTCTCCAACCGCCAGTACCTGAACGTGAGTGCCTGGGAAGACCTTTCTGGAGCACTGGGGAGCCTCGGTGGGGTGTCCTGGGAGCTGATTGATAGGTTTTCTTCCCCCCCGCCCCGGCAGCACCACCAGAAGTACCAGCACGTGCACCAGAAAACCTTCACCTGCTCTGAGCCCACCTGTGGGAAATCCTTCAACTTCAAGAAACACCTGAAGGAACACGAGAAGCTGCACAGTGGTGAGTGGGGCATTTCCAGGGGAATCACACCTCCTCCCCCCTATGGATTACACCTCCCTGGACACCCTCCTGGAGGGGTTACAACTCCCCGGTATGGATCACGGCTCCCTTGTGGATCACACCTCCCTTGTGGATCACACTTTCTGTACTGATTCCACCTGATCCCATCGGATTCACACCTCCTGTGCCCCCTTCCCCATCCATTCCCAAATTCCCATCCCCGGGAGCTATCACTGTTGCCCTCTGCTCCCCAAATCTCTCCTTTATCATCTCCATTCCCACGCTGGGAAGTCTCCCTGCTCCCAAAGCACATCCCGAGGGCCCCGATGGTTTTTCCAGGCTGGATCAGCCTGATCCCTTTTCTTTTTCCCCCCAGACAAGCGGGATTACATCTGTGAGTTCTGTGCGCGCTCCTTCCGCACCAGCAGCAACCTGATCATCCACCGACGGATCCACACTGGGGAGAAGCCACTCCAGTAAGTCCCAGTTCCATTTCTGACTTGCCAGCAAGTCCCATCCCTGCCCTTCCAGCAGATCCCAGTCCCATCCCTGCAGCCCTGCTCAGCCTCGGAGTCTTTTGCCATCCTTTTCCAGCCAAAATCAGCTCCTCAGCAATCCAGCCAAAAGCTGGGCTGAGATTTCTCCCGAGGTTTCTGCCCTTGGAGCTGGCTGTGTCCAGACCCAGCAGGTCCAGGGCAGTGTTTAAGTAGGCACAGCTTAACGAGCTGGAACAGAACGAAGGATGACTCCTGTCCAACCCATTCATGCCAGGAGGGCGCTGGAGCTTCAACCCACATTCCAGCCCCGAGCATGGTTCTCCCTGCGCCTCATCCCTGGGGATTTTTTTGCTCCTCCAGGTGTGAAATCTGTGGCTTCACCTGCCGCCAAAAAGCCTCCCTGAACTGGCACATGAGGAAACACGACGCCGACTCCTTCTACCAATTCCCGTGTGATGTCTGTGGCAAGAGGTTCGAGAAGCGGGACAACGTCACCGCCCACAAGAGCAAGAGCCACCCCGGGGGGCTCCCCCATCCCGAGGGAACCCGGCAGCACCCGGAGCCCCCCGGGCCCGTGGAGCCTCTGGAGCTGCTTGGGGATGTCCTGGGCAGAGGGGGGGATGCAGGGAGGACCCCACTGGAGTTTGGGGTGGGGGGCGCTGGGCAGGACCCAGGCACGCCCCAGGGCCACGGGGTGGGTGACGGGGGGTCCTAGAGGGCTCTTCCCCCAGTTTGGGGACTGGAGCAAAACTGGGGGTGATGCTGGACGGTGCAGCAGCTCCAGGTGCCAAAAATACACGGGAGAGGCAAAACTGGGGAAAATCGCAGTTTTTCAGCCAAATCCTAGATGAAATCCCAAGTTTTCAGCCAAATCCCAATTTTTTTTTGCCAAATCCCAGCCTCCCTTGAGCCCAGCAGTATTGCCACAAGTGGATCCTCAATAAAGACTTATTTTGGGTAAAAGTGGGATTTGGTGTCAGATTTTTATGGGAAAAAGATAGAAAAGTGGTATTTGGATGGTCTGGAAAATGGGTTGGAGAGGGGGTGGAGACACCAAACACCCAGGAACTGGGGACCCTAACTGGGATGAGAGGGAGCTCCCAGTGAGTCTGTGCCTCCAAACTGGGATGGGTGGGAGCTCCCAGTCAGGCTGTTCTCCCAAACGGTGATGGGTGGGAGCACACATTTGAGCTGTGCCCCAAAAATGGGATGAGACAATGCCCAGTGGGGCTGCGCCCCAAAAGTGGGAGCTCCCAGTGCTTCAGACTTCTCCTTTACACTTAATTTAATTTTCGTTTTAAAACTCTGATTTAAATTTGAACCTACAGATACTTGGAAGCTCCAAGTTGGGACCGTGTAGTGAATTGCAAGTGTCCCCAAAACCCCTTGGTGCTCTACCCCAGCAGGTTACCCCAAAATTATCGGGTTTTAGGGATTTTTTTTTTTTTGCACAGCAACTTTTATTTCCCCACTAACAGTGACAGGGCAAAGGACACGAACAGCAGCAGGGGCAAGGGCACGAGGGGAGCGGGCAAGCGCGAGATCACACCTAAGAACACAGAACCACCCCCAGCCCCCCCAAAAACCCCCCCGGCCCGGGCTTGGGGTGACCCCAAATATCCACATCCCCTCGCTGGCATCCTGGCACTCCAGGGCCTCAGAATTTAGGGGGATAGAAGGTGAGATGAGAAGGGAAATGGTGGGGGGACAGTGGGGAAGATGAGGAGATAAAGAGGGAGGGGTTGATGGGGGGCAATGGGGGAGATGGGGACAAAAGGAGGGGGGACAATGGGAGGGGCAATAGAGGAGAGGGGGGGATCACTCAGCAACAGCAGGAGGGGCTTGGCCCTTTCCCCAGGGGGAATGGGATGAGACAGGATGGGATGGGTACAGATGACTTGCAAAGCAATGGTGTCCAAACTGGGGGGGGGTGACACCCCTCCTCTCCACACAGCATTTTAGGGGGGAGGGGGGACACAAAGCTTTGGCTACTATTCGAAGTAGGATGGGATCGGCCTCTCCCTGTTCCACGGGGCTTCCAACTCCAAAGAAAAACACAAAATGAACTACAGGGGTGTTTAACCAGCAACAGGGAAGGGGTGCTCAAGTAGCACCCCCTCACCAACCAATGCCCCTGAGGAAAATATCAAGGGTAAAAAGACTCCAAACTTTGAACTGCAACAGGAAAAAAATGCCCCCTAAACAGCCAAGGGCAGGATTTGGGGCGTTTTGCTTGGAAGCAAAGGAAAACCTAAGGATGGCAGGGGAGAGGGGACACCACCAGTGAGCGGGGCGGGCTCAGTTGCAGAGGGACAGCGAGGAGCCCACGTAAAAGAGCCAGAAAAACGGGAAGATCCTCTCGGAGAAGGCGGCGGTGAAGGTGAAGATGGGAGCCATGTTGTCAGCGTTGTAAAACGCCACCCAGCCGCCCTCGTAGTCCAGGTACACCCCGATCTTGCGCGGCCGCTCGCAGAGCGACAGCGGCGTCTCGGGAGAGGTGAACGCCTGGTACTGATCCCAATTTTTACCCTTCCAGTTGAGCCCCACTGCCCAAATCCCCTCCTCGGGGGCGAAGTCGACCTTCTCCTTGCGGCGCACGGACTCGCGGGCGGCGCCCAGCACCCAGCTCTCCCCGTCTCCCACCTCCACCTCCCAGTAGTGGCGGCCAGCGGAGAAGCCCTCGGAGGCCAGGACGCAGAAGGCGTAGTCGAAGCGTTTGGGGTGAGCCGGCAGCTCCTGGGGAGCCCCGCGGAGCCGCACGCTCCGCTTGTCCTCCGACAGCACCAGGTAAGGGTTGGCCGTGTCGGGGTCCAGCGAGAGCTCACCTGGAGGGGAGGGAGAACAGGAGGGGTTACCTGTGGGATTGGCAGGCTTGGCTCGGTGTGCCGAACTCACTGCCTGTGGAATGGTGGGATTGAACAGAAATGGTGGTTTGTGTCCCAAACCCAACGGGGACAACACAGGTGAGTCACCTCTGGGATCGTTATCCCACTTATGTGGGGGCTGGATGGATTGTCTGTGCCCCAAACCAGAGGGGAAGGACCCAGGTGAGCCACCTGTAACATCCTGAAGAGCCCACACAGAAGCCAAGCCCAGCAATTCCAACCTTAACCCTTGGAAAAAGGGAGGTTAGAGCCCACATGACCCCCAGTCCTGGCAAATTCCCGCATTATCTCTTGGAAAAGGGAAGTTACAGCCCCGAATCCCAGCCAATTCCATGCAAGCCCCTGGAAAAGAGAGGTCTCATCCCAATCCTGATGGCCTCACCTGTGTCATTCTCCAGCTCAAAGCGCAGGTTTTCTGTGGGAAGAGAAGGAAGGATTTGAGTCCCCAGAACTGCCCAAGCCATGGGAATGATCCCCACTCCACACTTCCACACTCAAATCCCAGGAAAATCACTTTTCCACCTCTTCCCTGGGATGAGCCAATGCTCAAACAACCCGGAGCTCTCCCAGCCAACCCAGGGGGGTGAATTAGGGCCCAGCTACATCCCAGCCCTGATTTTGGTGGACTTCCATGTGGGATCCTGGCTGGGAAGCAGTGGTTTGTTTTTTTCCAGGAAGGCTCTCATCAGGCTCACCCTTGAATTCCAGCAGCACCTCCTTGAGCACTGCGCTCTTCTGGGAAAAACTCTTCAGCTTCTTCTCCAGCTCAGAAAAGCCAGGCTCAGGCTTGAGGAACATCCAGCTCTCCAGGCTGCGGAGACATGGGAGTCAGGGACCCAAAACCAAGGAATTCCCCCTGGGAAGGGCTGAAATACCAGCTCCAGCTGCCGTCAGAGCCTCCAAGTTCACCCAGTTCACTCACCTGCCACCAGCTGGGACAACACCCTGGAAGGGGAAGAAAACCCAAGGAATTTGTTAGGATCAGCATCTCAAGGGATCTCAAAATCCTCCCCAAAAACTGGGAGCACCCCATGAAGGGACTTTCGTCACCATAAAGATATTTTTGTATCTAGAAGTAGAATTTCTCACCCCATTAATAGATTCTTTTCCCCAACAGATTTATTTCCCCAATAAGTAAATAAATAAATATTTTGACCCATAAATGGAAATTCTTGCCTACGTAAATGGAACCTTTTTTTCCACCCCATAAACAGGACTTTTTTTGCCCCCATAAACGGAATTTTCATCCCCATATATAGGTTCTGTCCCTCTAATTAAGGGTAATTAGAATATCTAGGGTAATTAGCATATCTAGGGTAATTAGTGTATCTAATTAGGATATTTCAGCCCAATGCAAGGGATTTCTGTGTCCAAAAGCAGGGAATTTTTTCCATGGAAATACGTAACTGACTCCCACCTCGCCAGGTGTGCTCCCTGTCCCGCTGTCCCCGCCCTGCTCTGCCAGGAGCTTGTCCAGCTGGGCAATGTCCTCAGACAGCCTGGCCACGCTCTCGTCCCTCCGGCGCCCAATGTCCCTCTCCAGCTCCTCCAGCCGGGAGAGCAGGAGCTGCTCCTTCTCCTCCAGGAACGCCCGCAGCTCCTTGCACTCGGCCACGATCTTCTGCCGCTCCACCTCCGTCTGCTTCTGCAATTCCAGGGGAAACACCCCCGTGAGGGCAGCTCAGGGAGTCACCCCCCACCCCAAAAGGCAGAGAAGATTCAGGTGGGACTGGATTTCCACAGGGAATCCCCAAGTGAGAGTGAAGCCCCCCCTGGACTCACCAGCAGCTCCTCGCTCTGCCGCTCCCGCTCAGCCTTGGCCTCCTCGCGCCCTTTCCTCAGGGAGCTCAGGTGCTCCTGGGGCACCTCCTGGAAGCACAACGACAGATCCCTTGGGAATTCTTCCCTTGGGAATTCTTCCCCACAGCAGGGAAGGGCTGCTGCTGCTAAAACGGCCAAATTCACCCAAATCTGGGATGGTTTTTTTTTTTTTGGAGCTGGTACCAGCAGCTGCTCTGCACCCCTCAACCCTGACCTCAGGCTGTGCCAAAAACACCCAACCAGCCCAAAAACTGAAAAAAAAAAGTCAATTAATTTTATCTGCCTGCGAGGAAAGAAATGCTCTGGTGCCACCCCCGTCCTCCTCCCAGGATTATCTCCCACATTCCCCCTCTTCAGGGCACCCCAAAATTGGGTTGGACCTCCTCCAAGAGGAGGAACTGCTGCCTCCAAACTGCTCATTAAATTATTAATTAGTTAAACTCATCCTTATTTAAGTAGTTTGACCTCCATGGAGGGCAGAGAAGCCGCAGCAATAATGTGCAAAGAGCAGCTAGCCCTGGGGGCAAATAAATCTACTTGTTTTGTAACCAAAACCCTAAATAGAAGGATTTTGACTGTTAAAGAGACAGAAGTTGATGCCTTTGGAATTTAGCCATGAGATGAAGCAAGAATCAGGGAAAAAAAAGAGAAGTGAGGATCTCAGCAACAACCAATTATCAAACACTCATAAAAGTAGGTTAATGAGGGGGAAAAAAATATCCCAAGGGAACAACAACCTGGATCTACCTAAGGACGTTTGTGTCCTGAAAAAAAAGGGCAAAATCCCAGATTTGGGGGGGGGGGAAGGGGGACGAGACAGCCCCAGCGTCCCCGGAAGAGGAACCAGGGCAGTTCCGGGACAAAACCTCCTCTCAAAGGGGGTAATTAATTAATACGCGGTGGTTAATGATCTCACAATTCCCTTCCCGGGTCCCTCGGGATGGTGCTGGTGCCACCCTCCTCCTGCTGCTGCCACTGCGCAGCGACATCGGCTCCGCCCGGCATCTTGGATCCCTCTGGATCCGCTGCTCCAGCCTGGAATTCCGAGCCTGGCCACCCGCATCGAGCCCTTGCGCTCGTACACTCACAAATTAATCCCCGCAGCGGTCGCGACACGCCCCATATCGCGACATTGGGGAGCCCCAGCGTTGCCTCGGGGGCGCAGTTTTAGCTCTGCGTCACTCCCTCGGGATGGAGCGAGGGGGGTACAGGCCACTTCCAGCCTGATTCCCGATGGGATCAGGGATTAAATAACGCCCTGCTCAGCTCGGTGTGCCCCCGCGGGATTTCGGGGGGCCGGTGGGATTTCCCACGATCATCCCCCTTCCCCAGGGGTCTCGATTTCAACCCAGATGGATCCCACACCGCCACCCCGGGGTGCCCGTGTTTTGGGGTGATTCCGCGCCCCCAATCCTGGAAGCAGCGCCCAGCTAGGGAGGGAATCCCCCCAGGGTGAGATCCTGCACCCCACACGAGGGGTGGGGGTCTGGGGGCTCATTTCTGTACTCCCCCCGTGGAACTGGGGGTGCCGGAGGAGGAGGGAGTCCCTGAGTGGAGGGGAGTCCCTGGGGTCCCCCCAAGCCGTGAGATCAACTTGGGGTGTTCCCGATCTTACTACACCCCCCATTTCTTACGGGGGAGGTGCAGCACCCCAAAAAAGACCCAGGAGGGAGCGGAGCCCTCGCAGCGGGAGTGGGACTCCTCTCCACCCTCCGAGCCGGGCGTGGAGCGGGGGATCTACCCCGGGCACTGACCTCGGCGGCGTGGGCCGCCTCCTCGGCGGGCAGCACGGTGTGGGCGCGGTGCTCGCGGGACAGGTGGCACACCACGCACACGGCGCGCCGGTCCTGCACGCAGTACAGCCGCAGCGGCTCGCCGTGCCGCCCGGCGGCGGCTCGGCGGGGCCGGGCGGCAGCCCCAGCTGGCGGACGATGTGCACGATGTTGCCGAGCGAGCGGTTAGGGCGGAAGAGGCGCTGCGGGACCGGCTCGCGGCACTGCGGGCAGCACAGGCGCCGCGCCGAGTCCTCCCAGCACTGGGTCACGCAGGCGCGGCAGAAGTTGTGCCCGCACTCGGCCACCAGCACCGGGTCGTTGAAGTACTCCAGGCACACCGGGCACGTCAGCTCGTCCTGCAGGCTCCGCGCGGCGCTGCAGGGCGCCGGGAGTGCGGCGGGCGGCCCACCAGCACCGGGTCGTTGAAGTACTCCAGGCACACCGGGCACGTCAGCTCGTCCTGCAGGCTCCGCGCGGCGCTGCAGGGCGCCGGGGGTGCGGCGGGCGGCGCGGGCGGCGCCTCCATGGCGGCCGCGGAGCCGGTGGCGGCCCTGGGCCCGGTGGCGGTGCCGGTCGTGGCGCCGGTGGCGACGGCGGCTCCCCAAAGTCTGCGAGTCCCCAAATTCTGCGCGCCCCCAAAGTCTGCGCGCCCCCAGACCCCGCGCGTCCTCCCCTCACGGCTCCGCCGCCCAACTGACGGCCGAGCGGCCGCCACGCGCCTGCGCCGGGGGAAGAGGCGGGGCCGCGCCTGCGCACAATGAGAAAACGGGCGTGGTTTGCGCTGCATATAATTAGAGTGGGCGTGGTCAGCGCTGCTCCTGGGTGTGGTAATGAGTTGGGGGTGTGGCCGCGCGTGCGCAGAAAGAGAGGGGCCGCTCTGAGGGGAGATGGCTCCGAGGCCCCCACAGGAGGGGCGCGGGGGTTGCTGAGGGGTTTGGGGGTTTCTGCAGGTCTTGACGGGGAATATTGGGGTCTGTGGGGCGCTGAGAAGAGTTTGGGGGTCCCTACAGGATTTGAGGAGGGGTATCGGGGTTTGTGGGCGGCTGGGAAAGGGGAGGAGTCCCCTCCAGGCTGCTCAGACATGAGGGGCTCCCTGTAGAGTGCGGGCTGGATGTCTCAGTTCCAACAGAATAGGTGTAGGCGTCTACAGAGTGTTTTGTAGCTCCGTTGCTATGGGATCTGGGCGTTGCGGTTTATAGGATGGGTTTTGGGGGCCCTGTAGAGTTGTGGTGGGTGTATAGGATGGCTTGGGGGAATTCCTGTAGGATTAAGGAGGTTTACTGGGGTGGGTAGGATTTTATTGCGGTCGCTGTAGGGTTGAGGGGGGTGTGTGGAGATCTATAGGGTGCTGGGAGGGTAGCAGTCTTACAGGTTTTAGGATGATCCCAGATCCCTGAGAGTAGGGTGAGGTGGGGGCAGGCAAGCAGAGGTTGTTTTGAGGATTTCTGTAGGATTTTGGGGACTTCTGGCATGAGGGGATGAGAGTGGAGGGGTTTGGGGGTGGTTTCCACAGCATCAGCTTCTCTGCCGTGTTCCCACGAGTGTTAGAAATCCACTCCAAGAAGCCGAATTGAGGGAAAAATTATTCAAAACCTCCAGACGTACAAAAAGAGACCCCATAAACCTCCATCAGCTCTTTCCTAGAGTATTTAGGGATTTATATCCCTAGTGAAAGCAATCCCTCCTCCATGAGACAGATTGACAACACAACAGCACCATCTACCTGCCTTTTCTTTACGTTTCCTCACTGTCCGTGATGAGACTGGCCCCGGGGAGGAAATATTTTGCCACCATACGGTGGGGAAGGGCAGAAATTGGGGTTAAAAGTGGTAAATTCGGGGGTCGGAGCGGAGCTGCCCTCTTCCAAAATGGCGGCCTCGCCTTCAGGTAGGGCGCGAGGGAAAATGGCGGCGGCCTCCCCTTCCCCATTGACGCCCGCGCGGCCCAGCTCAAGATGGCGCCTGCAGCCTGAGGCCATGGGCGCCATCTTGGGTGAGGGCAGCGAGCCACCGTCGCCAGGCCGAGGTGAGGAGGAGCGAGGGGAAAAAGGACGTTTTGTCCCCCAAACTCCTCCTGGGGGTTCTTAGCACATTTTGGGGGTTATTCCTTGGTATTCCCTCGACAGAAAACTCCCTTTTTACCTCAAAAATCTGGCCTTTTTCCTGCTGTCAGGCGGCCGCCGCCATGAGGGGTCCTGCAGTGCCTTTGCCTCAGCCCACAGGGGTTTAAAACACACCACAGGGGTTAAAACAGCCCCGCTCTAAATTTAGGAAGTCACTCCGCAGCCCCCCACAAGCAAAGAGACTATGGGGCTCATCCCCGTCCCCACAGAGGGGCGGGAGAACCTCAAAATCACTTTTAAATTTTTTTTTTTAACATTTTAGGGAAAAAACACACAGACCCCCAACAGGACGTTAAAGAGAATTTCTTTCACTGAGCAAAGTGGTTTTGAGTGGTTTTGGTTTTTTTTTTTTTAATTTCCGCCCGGACCCGCGGATCTGGCCGCCAGAGGGCCTCGGCCATTGTGCACCTTTCTGCGTCTTCCCCCACCCCTTTTTTTCTCTTTTTTTTTTCTTCTTTTTTTTTCTTTTTTAATTCCTTTTTTCCTTCCTTCCTTTCTTCCGTTTTCTAACTCTTATCGCTTAGGATATCGGAGGGACCCGGCTCATCCGCTCCCCACGTGCGGGTCCCCACTTTTTTTCGGTGGAAAAAGGGGGTTTTTTTGGGAAAAAATAAAGGGGCAGTGGGGTGGAGGGGATTTGCCAACAGCACCTCCCGAGCTGGCCCTGCAGGTAACGGGGAGATTCGTGCTGGGATGTGGAAAAAAAGGCAGAAAAATGGCTTGTTTTTCCCCATCCCCGTCCTTCCATCCTCCCCTCAGGGTCCGGGATTTTCCTCCCTCTAGTCCCAGGGAAGGGGGAATATTATTTAAAAAATCCCAACACACTCCCACCCCAAAATCCACCCCGCATGGTAGAGTGAAAACACACATTTTGGAGCCAAAGAGCTCAGAAAAGAGCCCTGGCAACCTGTACCCATCACCAGCACAGCTGGGAACCTCCCTGGACTCCTCTGGGGGTGTACAAAGGGACAGGTTGGGGTGCATTAAGGTGGGAATGCTGGAGAAGCCAGGCTAGGTTTCCTGGGCTTGGAGTGACAGTTTATAAAGTAGAAGGCAGTTGAGCCAAAAAACAAAATCCTTCCGTGGATTTGTCTCTGGGGAAGAAGAAAGTGCTTGTGCAGGGAAAGCAGCAGAGCACAGGGTCAGAGCACAAAGAGACACAGGCGTCCATGAGGTGTGGGGCTCCCACTTTATTCCTGCCCTGTGCCAGCACCTCCTGCTCACCCTGAGCATCTTGCCCCCTCCAACCCCTTCTCCTGCCTGCTGGCAGCACAAAGTGGGCACAACACCACTGGATTTTTGTATCAGAACCAGCCCTGGTTCCCCCACCCTTCCCTGATGGAGCCAAGCACTGTTTCCTTTGGGAACAGGCTCCTTCTCCCCCAGGTTGTCCCTTTTCTGGGGTCTGGACTGCAGCAGGTGCAAGTGTCCACCCACTGCTGTGGGGAGACACCAGGGCAGATAAATCCCACCCTGTGCCACGACAGAGCACCCCTGCCACCCACCCCAGTGCCCTTCAAGTGTCACTTGTTGTCCTTGCTTGTCCCCAAGACAAGTTTTCCCCCAGTTGTCTCTCCACATCCATCACACCGAGGGACCTCTGAGTCCTTAGGGATCCTCACTGCTGTGAGCTGCAGGCGTGTCCCCAGCGAGCCGAGTCCTGGCAAGGGCCGAGGGCCCTGCAGCCTTGGCGAGGTGGCTGCGGCGGTGCTTGGCGAGGTGCGAGCCCTGGCTGAAAGCCTCGCCGCACTCGGGGCACTTGAAGGGCTTCTCGCCAGTGTGGACGCGGCGGTGCCGCTCCAGGTGGGACGCCCAGGCAAAGCCCTTCCCGCAGTCGTCGCAGGCGTGGCTCTTGTGCACGGCATGGCCACGCTGGTGCACCAGGAACAGGGGGGCTTCCCCGAAGCGCTTCCCGCAGTCGCCGCACTTGTAGGGCCGCTCTGGCGAGTGGGTCTTGCGGTGCTGCAGCAGATGAGCCTTCTGCGTGAAGCGCTCGCCACAGCTGCTGCAGGGGAAGGGCCGCTCGCCCGTGTGGACGCGCCGGTGCCGCTCCAGGTGCGACGCCCACACGAAGCCCTTCCCGCAGTCGCTGCAGCGGTGCGAGTGCTCCCGGCCGTGGCACCGCTGGTGCCGCGCCAGCGCCGGCCCCGCCCGGAACAGCTTCCCGCAGTCCCCGCAGCGCAGTGCCTTCCTGCCCAGGTGCGTGCGGCGGTGCCGCGCCAGGTCGGAGCTCTGGCAGAAGGTCTTCCCACAGGCCGGGCAGCGGTGCGGCCGCTCGCCCGTGTGGCTGCGGCGGTGCTTGGCGAGGTGCGAGCCCTGGCTGAAAGCCTCGCCGCACTCGGCGCACTCGAAGGGCTTCTCGCCGGTGTGGACGCGCCGGTGCCGCTCCAGGTGCGACGCCCACACGAAGCCCTTCCCGCAGTCCTCGCACTTGTGAGGCTTGTCGGCGGCGTGGCCGCGGCCGTGGGCCGCCAGCTCGGCTGCGGCGGCGAAGCGCTTCCCGCAGTCGCCGCACTTGTGCGGGCGGTCGCTGGCGTGGGTGCGGCGGTGCTGCAGCAGGTGCGAGCTCTGGCTGTAGGTCTCGCCGCACTCGGGGCAGCCGAAGGGCCGCTCGCCCGTGTGGACGCGCCGGTGCCGCTCCAGGTGCGACGCCCACGGGAAGCTCTTCCCGCAGTCGGCGCAGCCGAACGGCCGCTCCCGGGCTGCGCCTTTCCCACGCAGCGGTTTGGCGCAGCTGAGTTTGGGGAGCGCGGTGGGTTTCGGGGTCCCGGAGGGCACAGCTTTGTCTGGGCGCTTCGCTTTGCGCCTGTGGGAGCCCAGGGGCTTCTCCCGCTCCAGGCTGTGGGATGAGTGCGGCCCGAGCCCAGCACTGCTCTCCGGTGCTCCTTTCTCCACTGCTTTTTCACTCACCAGCCCCTGAGCTGCTGGGAAAAGGGAGAAGCAGGAAGAGGTGAAAGCGTGAGGAGCAGGATTTAAAACAATGGAGTAGCAACAGGATTCTCCTTAAAAATTTCGCTTGTTCACTCATCAACCCCTGAGCTGCTGAGAAACAGGAGAAGGAGGAAAAGGGGAGGGTGTGGCCCTGATTGGAGCAGGGGTAGGATTTAAAACAATAGAGCAACAACAAGATTCCCCTTAAAAATCTTGTTCTCCCAGAGAGGAGGAAGAGAGATACAACATGGACCTGATCCCAGTTTGAACTGGAAATGTGGAGATGCCAGGGGCACTCCAGTGCCAGAATTTTCAATTTAAGTTAGGAGAGATCAATAACATTTTCCTGAAGAAAAATAATTAACGAGAGGGCTGGGGATTGGGGAAATCCCCCTGGAAACTTGCCCAGATCCCTCCGCCCCTCTTCCCAAGCTGCTTTGCTTGGAGCAAGGAAAGGATAAGGGGATATACAAGGAGGAAGGAGATTTTGGGGGTGTCCTTACCCAGGGACATGAGGGTCTCGTAGCTCTCGTGCATCACGTCGAGGTACAGGGCCTTCTGCCGCGGGTCCAGCAGCACCCAGGGCTCCATGGCAGATGCAGCGCCGGGACAATGCAGATTCCTCCCTCGGGGCTCCCCAAAATCCCCTGCAGGGAGGAGAAATCCCTTGAAATCAAGGAATTCCCCCCACACGGTGCCTCCTGCTCGAGGCTTCATGCTTTTCCTGTGGCCACTTCGTGTTTTCATACTCCCTCCATCCAGGATTAATCCCCAGAGCAACGAGGGGACAGAGGGGCAGGAGGGTCCCTGCCTTGCCCCCCTTTTCTGGCGGACCCCATCCCACAGCAGCCTCTTCCTCCCTGTGCCACCGGGAATCAGCGGCAGGGGCCTGGGGGGAACATCCAGGAGCATCCAGGAATATCCAGGAACATCCAGGAGCACCCAGGAGTATCCAGGAGTATCTGGGAGTATCCAGGAACATCCTGGAGCATCCAGGAACATCCAGGAGCATCCAGGAATAACCAGGAGCATCCAGGAGTATCCAGGAGCATCCTGGAACATCCGGGAGTATCCAGGAGCATCCAGGAGTATCCAGGAACATCCAGGAGCATCCAGGAGTATCCAGGAATATCCAGGAGTATCCAGGAGTATCCAGGAATATCCAGGAGCATCCAGGAACATCCAGGAGCACCCAGGAGCACCCAGGAGCATCCCCATCCCTGCGGAGCGCAGGGCTCCCTCTCCATCCTGCCCGTCCCTCGTCCCCTCCCCAGAGGAGCTGCCGCTGCCACATCCCCGCTCCTCTTTCTCCCCGTTACCTGCCGCCCCCGGCTGCCGCAGGGATTTTCCTCGGGAGAAGCGTCCTCCGCGGCCACGGAGGGAGGGGGCGATGCAGGACCCCTCCCTTGCAGCCCCCAGAGCCTCCCCCAGCAGCACACAATGGAGGCGATGCTCCGGAAGCCCAAGCCGGTATCCGGGAGAGAGGGGAGAGGCTGAGCAGCAGCTGGGCTTAGCCAGAGCCCTCTAGAGGTAACCCAATCCCAGAGCTGTCCCCAAAACCTCCTGCAGGCCCTTTTGTGAAAAATTTGTGGTTTATGATTGGCTTTTTGCAAGTATTGAAATGAATATTGCATGTGTTATGTTAGAAAGTTATGCTGTGTGAAAAAACGCCAATCAGTTATTTTTGAAATTTTGAAAGTTTAATAGTAACAAAATGGTTACAAAAATAGTAATATAATTAGAATAATAAAATTTGAACATTTGAGATTAGGAAAATATGAGACAATAAAAACAAAGAGATAGAGACGTCCGGATATCTTTTCAAGCCCGAAAAAGGACATCCGTTAACAGAGAATTAACCCTTAAAAACAATCACCTGTTGCATATTCATACATCTCATACATGATGCATAAATTCCATTCAAACACAGGATTCTGTCTGGTCACTGTGAACTTCTTCCTCTTAATCCTCATGCCGTCTCCCTGTCTGAGCAAGGTGGGAAGAAGTTAGTTTTCTGCTGATAAGGCAGCAATAAATTCCCTTTTTCTGAAAGATTTAGGTGTCCTGCAGCCGCCGTCCGGTGAGGGCCCCAGGTGGAGGTGTGGGTTCACGTCCCAGTTCTGTCACACATTTTTCCCAAAAACTCATTTTTTAATCTTATTTTCTGTCTTTTTTTCTTTTCCCTGTCCCTGATAAAAATTTGTCCCTGCCATACCCACTCCCTTCTTACTGGGAACCCCAGTAAGATCAACCTGATAAGGAACCTTCACTTCTCCAAGAGAACCCCAACTTTCCCAGCATCTCCGTGGCCTCCTCTGGACTTCCTCCATCAGCTCCACATTCTTCCCATAAGGAGAACCCCAGTTTTGGGCAGTTTCATCCAAAAAAACTCCTCCCTGGCGCATCCATTTCTTATGCCCCCAGTCCCAAAAGTGTTGCCTCAGAGTGGCACGAGTACGTGCCACAGGTGCATCCAGGGAATCCTCGGGGCGAGCAGGAAGTGAAGGACAAGAAAATGCTTTGAAAGGGCATCTTTCCTCAACAGGACCTGCCCGCACCTCTGCAACCTGTGCCTGCCGGCCCAGACACTCATTAAGGCTAATTATCTCATTAATAAATCCACATGGGGTTTTTTCCTCCCCTGTGCTTTACGTAATCTGTCCTTTTTCATCTCCACAGGGAAACGCTCCCAGGTGAGCACCCTCCTCCACTCCAAGTGCCCTCCAACATGATGTCCCACACGACGTGTGGAATGAAACCCCACCTTTTTTTCCCTCTCCTTCCATTAAGAAAAATCAGCCTTGACACCAGAAAAAAGCAGTTTGGAAAGAAGCCACCATCCCTTCTCCCGCCCCCTGATTCCCTGCCTTGTGATGCAACTGGTGCCAGGCGGAAATTCACCTTCCCGTAATCTTCGGGGAATCAACAGATGGCAGCAGGAAGATGGGAGGGACAGCTTTTGCAACTGGTGGATTGTTGATGCCCAGAAAATAAGTCCCCATCACTGAGGTTGATCCCGAAACAACTTGTTGGGACACGCCTTAATCCAGGTGCTCAGGACAATGTGAAACCAGCGGCCCTCACTCCAAACTCTCTGTTCTTCTTGGGGATGTGTATCCGTGCCAGTTTCATTGTGCAATTCCCAATCTGTCGAGGTTTGTTTTTTCCAGATGGAGCAAATGTGTGGTTTTTGGAGGTTCAGTGTTGACACCCCACAGAGGAACAACCAGCGAACCACAGAACATAAAACCCGACCCAAACCAAAGGGTTTTTTTCCCCAAAAAATGATACTTCTACTTTTTTCCAATCCAGCTGGTGGATTTTCTTAAATGGAGACATGCTCTAAGACAAAAAAAAAAAACAAAAAATCAAGAAAAACCTTCAATCCTTCCGTTTTTCTTAGAAGGAAACATTCTGAAGGTGTCACCCGATTTTAACCAAGACAGCACAGGAAGGAGTTGTCCCTGACATCACGAACTCACAGCGACAAAAACCATCAAGGACCCCAAAAACATCCTATGACTCGTAGGATTGCAGCATTCCGTTGTGAAACTCCTCACCCTGGGGGATGTACCACCTGAATCTGCACACATATAATCTCGAGGTTTAATTACTTGGGACACCAGTTAAAGACTTCAACCATCACTTCAAGCCCTGAAACGACTGCTTAATCAGTCTGTGGCCACCACCCTGCCTCACAGGCTGTACCCTGTGGTTTTAAGGCAATTTTCTGTGTTCATTGCATTTGTGGCAATTTTTCTATTAAATTTTAACTCTGACTTAAAATCTCTCGCAAGGTATTTGTGTGGGGTTGGTTTCCCCTGCTGGTTTACCTTCAAACCAGCACAACCAGGAACAGGACATTGGGAATCCTGCAGGAATCATAAAAATACCCGCACACGCCACCAAAAAGCAAAATTCTGGGCAAAACCCCTCATGGTGGCTTTTCCTGAGGAGATCCCTTGGACACAGCACCACAATTTCCATGTTTCCACGCAAAGCCCCCAGTTTCCATAGCTGAACTGGGAGATCCCATAAATGCAATCTGCAAAGACCCATGAGATGAATATCCAAAATTCTACCTAAATTTTGTTTGACTGAATGTTCCTTTATCCTGAGATATTTTGTGACCATATTTTGTGAAACCTCACAGTTTTGTGGTGACTGAAGAGGATAAAGCCCAGTGAGGGTGTTGGTTCTGAGCAGGCGCTCTCGGTTCAAGAACAAAGAGATAGCTCATCCGATGAGTTTATGGTGCTTTGGCAAGTCCAGGGTCTCCATTCTGGAAAAATACTGGTTTCATTTCTAGAAAAATACCCAGTTTTTGCCATTTCAGTGAAGCTCTGGATGATCTTTAAGGTCTCCTTCCCACCCAAACAATTCTTCACCCTCTCTATTATAATAGAGGCAAGATCAAGCCGAAATTGTCAACACCTAAGAGCATCCAGTAGATGAATTTTCCCCAAAAATGCTAATTTTCACCCCTGAAATAACATTTTGAATGCCAGCTCAAGATCTCCCTGGGGTTCAGAAGGATGCCCATGATGGCTGTACAGATTTCAGCAGTCTTTGTGCAATACCAGGAAAAAAACCCCAAACCTGATTGTTCCCTTCTGGGAAATTGCTGCCTCTGGAGCAGGGTGCGGTCACTATGTCGGGTAAACACGGTACACCCCAAAACAGTGGACAGCTGACTTTACTCCATTGAGTAAAGGGGGAAAAAAAAAAAGCCAGCAGAGGAACTGAGTCTGCTCAATTTCTTGTTCCCCTTCTGATGACAAATCACTCCCTTCCGGGTTGCACTGATTGACAGAGGTTTTTTTTGCAAGCACCAGGTTGCTTTTTTTTTTCCCCTTAAGCTGGGGTATAAAATGAATTCCAATCTCAGCAGAGGATTCATCTTCCTTCTGGAGAGATGACTGGGACAGGTGAGTGATTCCTCCCCTGAATCCTGAGATCTCAGTGGGCTTTTTCCTGGTTTTCTTTCATCTTTGCTGTCTGGGTTTGGTGGTTTGTTTCCATCTCTTTGCCACCTCCCGCTTTTCCATCTGGATTGTTCCGTGGAGCTCCAGGCACTGTGGGCAGGGGGAGACCTCCCTTCAAATATGAGGTGTGGGATGATCCTGCTTTTTCAGGAAACATGGGCACGAGCTTGGAGTCTCTGAGAGCCATCCTGCAGGATGCCTCCATGCTCCAAGTCGGTGTTTTCTCCACATCCTCCCAAAAAACACCTGATGGAAGGTGGAGATCCAGCTGACACCTCCAAGAGCTGGATCTCCCAGGGTATTTGCTCTGATCTCCAAGCAGGATCTCCCAAATGGTCCGTAGGTTTTTTCCAACCCAGCTGTGATGATTCTGTGATCAGGGCAAGTCAATTCAACCCTATCCCACTCTTAACAGGACTTCTGGAGCAGATCCTTCCTAATTGTTTTTTACACTCATGGTTGGTGTCTTGATCAGCTCAAGGGGCTGTTGAAACACCTGCCTCAGGTTCTGGATGATAAAAGCTCCAAGGTGGATTCCTGACAGATCCATCCCAGATCTGTGTCAGATCCATCCCAGATCTGGGGCTGCTCCAGGAAAAAAAAAAAAAAAAACAAAAAACAAAAAAAAACCACCACAATTCCCAGGGATTTTCCAGCAGTAAGGATTACCCAAAGTAGGGTCTCCAAAGCTTTTTGGTTTTCCCTGGAAGAGAATTGGCTGCACTCAGGAGAAGGAAAAGAAAATGAAAGTTGCTCTTTAGTTATTTTGAAAAAGAGAAACCAAAACTAGGAAAATCCCAAGGCTGGGGGGAGAGGGGGGAACGGGGGATAGGATGGGACAGAGTGGGGCTCTCAGCCCAAATTTTCTTTCACTGTGAAAATGTTAAATAATATTGTGTCTGTTCTGGTGGAAATGGTCATTTTGGGTCTGTTTGCTGCTCCCTGTGGGCATCTCAAATACACAATAATTTTAAAGGAGAGGATTTTAAATTGGGGGGGATTTTTAAAAGGAGGGGATTTTAAAGGAGGGAATTTTAGAGGAGGGAATTTTAAGGGAGAGTAAAATTCTCTTGTCTAAAATTAAGTAGAAAAAATTTAATTAGGGAATTTTAAAGAAGATAAATCCCATCTCTCTTCATCCCTGTAATTCATCCACCTTTCTGTGAAATTTTATCTCAAGCTGTCCTGTCTTGCAAGTCTTCATCAGATCCATCTGCCCAATCCTGTCTTTTCCCTCCACCCTTCACATAAAAACTCCCCAAATTACCCAGCTATGGGAAAGGTCACTGGGGACAATGAGGTGCCTCGATTCTTTGCACATGAGTGACACTAATTACTGTTCTTGAAAGCTTTGGAGCTTATTCTAAGAAGGTCAGAGTCATTTTGGGAACTCACCACAACAGCTGTACAAGCCGAACATGAATATGGAGAACTAAGAAATCATCTGTGGGCTGATTTCTCTTAGAATACGGGAATCACCGTCGCC